GACGGTCTGAGGGGGTGAGGGTCAGACGGTCTGAGGGGGTGAGGGTCAGACGGTCTGAGGGGGTGAGGGTCAGACGGTCTGAGGGGGTGAGGGTCAGACGGTCTGAGGGGGTGAGGGTCAGACGGTCTGAGGGGGTGAGGGTACATTCCTGGAGTGAGCACAAACTGAAGCCTATTACTTACATCGATGGAACAGCCCATTAAGGATCCTCGCTGTAGGGCTTTCTGAATGATTTGGAACAAGTTGCGAGGAGCAGACTTCAGCTCGTACCATTCGGAAACACCACCAGTAAAATCTTCAAACCCTTCCGTTGTTGACCCTCCAGACAGAGCTTCATAACTTCCATTTAATCTGGAACAGTGTGGAGCCAGAATTCATCACAACAGGAACAGGCCATTCGGTCCCTCGAGCCTGCCCCACCATTCAATAGGATCATATCTGATCCAGCATTCCTCACACCCACATTCCTGCCCTTTCCCTGTAACCCTTCATTCCTGACTGATAAGAATCTATCTCAGCCTTAAATATACACAAGGACTCTGCCTCCCCACAGCTCTCTGTGGCAAAGAGTTCCAAAGACACTCAACCCTCAGAGAAGAAATTCCCCTCATCTCAGTCTTAAATTGGTGCCCCTTTACTCCGAGACTATGCCCTCTGGTCCTAGACTCTCCCATGAGGGGTAACATCCTCTCAGCATTTACCCTGTCAAGCCCCTTAAGAATCTGAGATGTTTTAATGAGATCAGAACAACACCTCCCCCCCACCACACCTTGTCCCTCTGTGCTGCAGCTTTCTGCAGTTGCTCTCTGTTTAAATATTACTCTGTTCTTCTGCTCTCGTTCCAAAATGAACATTTTCCCACATTATACTCCATTTGCCAAATCTTCACCCACTTACTCAACCTATCAATATCTCTCTACATAAAAACCGACAGAACTGCGGATGCTCTAAATCAGAAACAAAAACAGAAATTGCTGGAACAGCTCAGTGGGTCTGACAGCATCTGTGGAGAGAAATTCAAAGTTAACATTTTGGGTCCAGTGACCCTTTGTCAGGACTTTCCTGAAAAGACCTTACTACCACCTTTTTTTCCCTTTATTCATTGACAGGATGAGGGCGTTGCTGACCAGGCAGCATTTATTGCCCGTCCCCAATTGCCCAAAGGGCAGTTCAGAGTCAGCCACATTGCTATGGGTCGGGAGTCACATGTAGGCCAGACCCGGTAAAGATGGCAGTTTCCTTCCCTAAAGGACATTAGTGAACCAGATGGGTTTTTCCAACAATCGATAATGGATTCACGGTCATCATTAGATTCTTAATTCCAGATATTTACTGAATTCACATTCCACCATCTGCTGTGGGATTCAAACCCGGGTCCCCAGAACACTTTCTGGGTCTCTGGATTAACAGTACAACAATAATACCACTAGGCCATTGCCTCCGCTAGCCTCCTTACTGGGGTATATTTGTACTGATTGTCATGAATTACCTCCCTAAAAGCCTGCTACAGCTTGCTTCCTGCCAGTCCTGCTAACCATTGTGCCCAGGTCACTTTAGTGAAGCCCATCCTCATTCCATTGCAATTCTCTCGGTTCACAAACCCTGCCATCCCAGTTTAAACCTGTTCCAACTACACACATAAAGGGACAGTATGACCAGGCTGCAGGGAGCCATCACTCACTTGGCATAGGCCTTCTCCAACAGTGCGCTCCAGAACTCATTTCTCTCGGCCGAGTGGACAAACATCAGCTTTCCATCTTTAGTGGGTAGTCGGTCATCGATCACCACATCTACCCAGTCCCCAAACTGCCAGAACTGGACACAAACAGAGAGACGGTCAGTGACACCCACCCCCAAACCCCCACACGCCCCCCAGTCTCCCCCTCCACCCCCCACACAGCCCCCCACTTCATAACCTGACCCAGCACAAACTGTTCACTGATTCCAACATCCACAGTCATCCCTGCCACCCCACACTGACAGCACCGCACCCCCCAACACACACACACAGACAGACAGACAGACACACACACAGAGACAGACACACACACACACAGAGACAGACACACA